ATGCCAGGGAGTGTCCTTCTCCTGGTGTTTGCAAGTGCGCGGGGAAAAGGGGTGGTGCAAGGAGCACACTTCCTCCACCGTCCTCTGGGCATGCGCTTCCTACACCAACCCAACGCCGGGAGAAGGCCAAGGGGTGTGGCGGCCCAGCGCACCCTGCGGGACGGATGAATGTCCCCGGGGGGCCAGGTTTCACCCGCAGGCCTTAGTTTGAGAACCCCTTATCTAGATTATCAAAGTAGATAATCCAGATTATCTGCTTTGAACTGGATATGAGTCTACACCGCCATATAATCCAGTTCAAAGCAGATAATCTGGATTTTATATGGTAGTGTAGAAGGGGCCTGAGGGGGTAGTCAATTGTTGATAACTGGCCTCAGATGAATTTATTAGTCCTTTCCAGGTTCAACCTAACTTTAAAAGGATATAGGTCAAATAACGTGGTCCTTATTTAACCCAATTTTCTGTCTGGTCTTGGTATTTCCATGGTTGTTCATCAAATACCTGTACCATTTAAAATTTTATCACCTCTGGCTCCCCCCAAAAGGGCAATGATTCCTGAAAATTTCTTCCAGCTTTGCCAAGAAAAAAGGTATTAGCAGCTTCATTTTAAAATGATTCTTTTAATAATTCAAAAGTAGTTGTAACACAGCTCTTCCCGATGTACGAATGGTGCTTGTTATACTAAAATATGGAAGGTGCAATCTCTTCCTTGGTAAATACTACATCTGGAAATTTTACTCAGTTCTTACAGAAAAGGGATAGGGAGCCATCATAATTCTTTTGTTTCCAAAGCTTGTCAACTGGAGGCCAGATACTTCACATTTTAAAAGGACAACCTGGATTCTGACAGTGAATTGTACTGGATTACTTCAAATCAGTTTAAGTCAATTGGGAAACTTCACTTTTGTAGGCCCTCCTTGAAAATCCCAAAATGGTTATCAAATATCCCCATTTGTTCCCTTAAGCCACTGCTTAACATAACATTGCTTATGAATATTGCACTTTGGGGAATATTATGATCATATTTCAACACGGTAAGGTAAAAACTTATAAGAAATGACCTTCTGGCTTCCGGATTATTAAAGTACATTGGAATCTGAGACCGTTTGCTTCTGTTGATGCAGTTTGGAATATAACTGCCAATTTGAAATATGCTTCATGGATACTGATTGAAATAGTCATCACATTGAACCTTATAGCATACAGATTGAAATATTTCGAACAATATATTTGAGGTTGGTCAAGTCAAATACTCTTATTAGTTGTGACTATAAATGACATTTTATGTTGCATGTACAAGCATATCCCAGTTAAAAAATCCTCCAACAAAGAAGTGCAATATCAAATGGGTCAAACTGTACACTTTAGTGCAACTGTAGTGGAATAGCAGGTTTGTGCAATAAAATCCATAGTTACTGAATATAATCAAAGTGAGCATGTATTTCTAATGCCCTCTTGCCAATTGCTTCAGACAAGTTTGTAAATATAATATGGGTAGGGTTTTTTTCTCCCAAATTAAATGGTAAATAATATACTTTTAAAATGTTACTAATTGTGACTTATTAGAATTTGTTCCACCTAATAAGTCTCCAGTTGTAAGAGCAATTAATACAAAAAGGATCCCAAAGGCACCCTTTTTACACTTGAAAATTGTCTAGATACAGTGACAATATTCAGTGGAAGTATAATTAGATTTCTCTGAACAGTAATACAAAATGATGTGTTAACACTTTTTTGATTGGAGCAACAGTGAAATTATAAAGATTAGCATGGTAAATGATAAATAATCTGGTTCTCTACAGTGAATTGGAATTGTTCCCAAGTCATTAGACAGAAAATGGAGGGGAAAGAAAAGGTGTATTCTTTTAGTGGGAATTAAAGGCTTATTTATTTGGAATATAATATTTTGAATAATTATTTCCTCGAAAGAAAGTTGCAACACTGGTTTTGTTGAGCCATCAAACTTAATATTTTTTAAAAAATTATAAACCAAATATAACCAAGAAAATATATGTAATTCTTGCTGAAAACTTCAATGAAGATAGTGCAGCTGTCGCTTGCCAAGGTCTCCACTGCTGCATGGAAGCACACAGGTTTGTTTGTTTGTTTTGGCTTCAGTTTTCTCACAAAAACGGAACAGTGTGCTTCCATGCAACAGCAGAGACCTTGGCAAGGGATCTGGATTGCAAATCAAGATTGATAGCAAATTAGTCAGGAATCACATGGCTAACCTAAATCAATTCAAAACTGCAGGGGCAGACAAACTACTTCCCAGAATACTGAAGGAATTTGCTAATATATTCTCTGAACCACTTGCCATCATTTTTTCAGAAATCTTGAAGAACAGGTGAGAGATGCCAGAGGACTGGAGAAGGGCAAAGTTTGTCAAAAAGAAAAAGAAAGAAAGAAAGAAAGAAAGAGAGGGCGATAGTTGCGGGGGGGGGGGGGGATGAATCAGGAAACTACAGATCTGTCAGCCTGACCTCAATACCAGGAAAATATTACAATGGATTACACAGGAGTCTGTCTGCAAATGTCTTGAAAACAATACAAGGATCAGTAGGAGGCAGTGTGGGTGTGTATAGAACAAATTCTGCCAAACTTTTAAAAATCAGGTCATTAGTTTAGGAGATGGTAGAAATGCTGTAGATGCCATGTGCTTGAATTTCAGCAAATAATTTGATATTTGGATTAAAAAATAAACTGAACAGATGTAAACAACATCAGATGGATCCATAATTGCTTGGAGAAATATGCTCGGAGTTTCGTTAACGGCTGATCTTCATATTGGAAGGGGTTTTTGAGTGTCTTGGTGTTCTACCCTAGGGCCATTCTGTTTTAATATTTTTACTAAGATGACAGGATGGAGGGATCCCTTACAAAGTCTGCAGAAGACACAAAACTGGAACAGGTGAGTAACGTATTGGAAGATAGGAACAGAATTCAAAAGGACCTTGAGAAGGTAGAAAATTGGGCAGAAAATAGTAAAATGAAATTCAGAGGAGACAAATATAAAATTCTCCATATCAGCCAAAGAAACCAAATACATGGCTCATATACATGTATAAAGAAATCTGGGATTATTGTTAACCAAATGTTGAACATGAACCAGCAGCATGATGGTGCAGCATTGCATGTGACCAAACTAAACAATTAAACAAAGCTATACATATTTTGCCAATGTTGTTAACAGTAAAAAAAATTCAGTCCACCATTTCTGGGATGCAGTCCTTTTTAATAAAATGATATGTTTCTAAGCAGATCCATAAAAAATTTCATTTTCCTTCCAGATGTGGAGTTTTGAGGGAATTCTATATCTTTTTTAGTCTTAGATTGAATAATGCACAGTTCCCCACAGGGGCAAAAAACTGTGTACAGTTATGCAAGTACAGCTATTTGAGTTACACAAATAGCTGCATTAAAGCATGATATAAATAGCTATATAAAAGGCAAATTTTCCTTGGTAATGCAGCAATGGGCTTCAAAGAAAATATGAATACCATTCTTTAAATACTGAAAAAATGATTGGCATCAGCAAAGCCTCGGGAAATACAAATCACTGCTAAGTGACTACCTTCTTCTGAACTCCAGCTATGAAAATCAGTTTAGTCTAAATGGGGAAAGGTAAGACTTAAACATGACTACAAAACTCAGCTCTAGACTCACTCTGTCAGTGACTAACTGACCAATTTGCCTTGAAAACATGGATGTGTGGAGATGGAGTTGTAAAAACTTTGGTTTACTGTAGCATTCAGATATTTGATAAAATGAAATTGATCATGCTGCAATTTGATTATATTTTTGAAAAGAACAGGTTATTACTTATCAATGTGGTATCTTGGTAAGATCATCTGAAAATTCACACATATGGACCTTATGCTTGTGGGGCAAAGTTACGGAAACTTTCAAAAACTTAGTACAATAGGAGCATGGAATTTGGCCCCCATCCCATCCTCCAGTGTACGCATTATCTGCGTTTTTCCTCGGTTTTCAGTCCTGTGCTAAAGTGTGCACTTGAGACATACACATGGGGAGGAAGTTGTGTTATCAAGTCAAAGAACCACAAACTTTGATGAGTGAGAACAGGTCCAATTATTTCAGATTGTGAAGGAAAAACAGAACTTAGGAAATTTGGTGAAGTAACCTATAAAGGCAATGAAAATACTGGATTTTGCCATACAGGACAGCATAATGTTCAACTTCCTTGAAAAGCCTAAGGTTGCCAATATTCTGCTTGGAAATGCTCAATGTCAAAGCAATTAGCTTGTGAGTGTAGCATTCTGAATATTGGATGGTACTGCTAGATTAAATGAGAAGATCTTGAATTCATGGTTGAAGAGGAGTAGCAGACCACCATTTGGTTAATGAGGGAAAGAGATCAAGAATGGACCCCTTCTCCATATGTAGGAATGTATCCCAAGAGGATGAAGGACCTACATCCATTCTGCTAAAGTACTCTCAGTATTCCAACAGAGTACAGAACTCTATATGCAATCATTATCAGTTACCTGTCTTGGTGGTATTCCCATTCAGAGAACTCACTAATGTATAGTCCTTTTCTGAAACATGTATCACATTGGGAGGGTGTAGATCAGTCCCTAAACTTAAGAGATCATGGAGAAGCTATTGCCCAGTGCTGCTTTGATTTTGTTTATGTATGACTGCATGTACTACAAAGCCTATAAGATGGCTCAAAAGCATGAAATGTTTGGAAAACAAGTTCTAGCTCTTTGACGTAGAGGTTCAATTGGTAAACACTTTCAGATTCCTATAAGAACACCTTATCCATATAGAGAGACATCAGCTATAATAAAGATAGTCAAAGTTGCCTGAAGGTACATCTTGCGTTATATTCTCCTATTATTTTTCAACAGTAACTGTTTTTGAAAGCTTCCGAAGGATTTTTTACCCATTGTTATCAAGTTTAGTAAAGAAACCACAAGGAGCAACAGCTGAAACAAAGGCAATAGAAACTTTATCAGTCACGGAAGAAGCAAAAATAAAGCTCATTTGTGGATTTATTTTTGTGTTGGGTTCTGGGAACTGTAGTACAAAAAAAGTAATCATTTCCAAGCCCCAAACCTGATATCTAGAGCATAGGATTATAATATCCTATTAATTCTGCAATCACTTTATTGATTTTTCTTTAAAAATCTATAATCTCAAAAGTTAAATATCACATAGAATGGTGAATCCTTAATAAGTCAAAGAAGGATATTTGTTATGTGGAAGACACTGTTCAACTGAGTCCTCTTTTTATTCCTGATAGCAAAAATGGAGCTATATGAAATATACCAAATATATACAAGTGTGTTCGATTAGCAAAATTTATTAACATCAGAGGGTAGAATTTGGACGAGTTCATTTTGATCATGATTCTATTTTACAGCAGCAAAATTGTAGATAACATGACTGAACATGGTATGAAAATATCTAAAAGACATAATTCACGTCAAAACTTCAGGGAGGGCAGCAAAGGAAAGCAGCATTCAGTAAACTGAATCTTAACAAAGAAGACATCCATGACTTCATCAGACAGGGTTAATCAACCAAGACAGAATGTTGGGAGGAGGAAGGAGAGGAAGAGAATTACTGTTGCACTTCCTGAAGTTTGAAGAGCAAAGGTTTCCTTGAAACTGACAACAAATTCTTGCTGTACCACTGGCAGCAAAGGAAAGACAAAAGTGCAAAGGCACCAGGGACATAAAAACCGAAAATTGTCTTACAGCAAAAGCACATGGGCAGCTTATGCATGAGATAAGGCAATAACAACAGTAATGCTTGGTTGGCTTGGTAATGACTGCCTGCATAATGCTATTAGATGAGTTACTTTTAAAACAATTCAAAGTTCGGCATTAAAATGGACCTGCCTGCAGCCTTGCAATCTTCCTGATAAGTCAGACCAAGATAGATAAATGTTTTTGCAAAAGAATGGTTGGCGGTGTCTATCCTATATTCCCTCCTGCTCAAAGTGAAGATGAAAAACTGCAGAGATGTGAAATGCCAAAGAAAGCAAAAACAACAGAATCAATTCAGAGTTCATTTAGATACATGAATCTGCTTGGAAAACAAGGGTTACATGATCTTCCCTTCTACAGCAACTCATAGTTCTGGGGGCAAATTTTCTGGAAATGCTTCCAAGGAAGAACTTCCTTACATTATAACGTATGAATGATCAAGTAAATTATAATTATTAAAATAAAATATATGCTTAAAATAGCTAATGAAAATCTACATTCCCTTTGTTTAGGACGGTTGAATTAAAATTATCTTTAAAAGAACAATTATCAATCAAAAGGCGGTAAACCAAACAGTTCTGGCTTGAACTCATTCATAGACTGGAGCACTAGTGTGGCTTCTTTTGTAAGTTCTTTGTCCAAGTTTTCATCTGGAATCATGACCACCTGCATCCCTGCTGTCAATGAAGCCTTCACCCCGTTGGGAGCATCTTCAAATACAAGGCACTGAGATTTAAAAGAAAAACAAAAGCATAATTATATATTACTGCTGTGTAATTGATATAATGCAATATAATATAATATAATATGGAATATAATATAACAATCAGTCCTCATATCAGCAGAACTTGCAGCTGTAGATTCATTTATCCACAGCCAACAAAATGAGTCAACTCTAGGCATTTTCTAAGTTCCTCCAGCATGATTCTATGGTATTCTTAGGCAAAAAGTGCTTAATTTCAACAAAGTTTACTATTATGGGTACTGATATGGGGGTACTGTACTTGCTATATTTTTATTTAAACTAGAGTTGATAAAAAAACTTTTAAAAACATGAACAGATATATCTTCATAAAATTAGTATCAAATACCAGCTTCCGTCTTGTAGATTCAATTAACATGTTTGCTTGTATCTCTGTGCTCCCCACATCCCCATTCTGTGTTTGATAACTCTATTTCCACAGTCAACTGTATCTCAAGAATGCTGAAAACTGATATATGAAGGCAGTTTAGTTCTGAATAAGAATTAAGAAACATGACATTTTCCTTTCCAGACTTTAAATTGACTCCTGCTTAAATATGTACAAAAAATGTTTTCCTTGCAGACTGCAAATTGTCCCCATTGTGACTAATTATCTACATAAAAAATTCTTAGAAATAGGGAAGATGACATTTGGGATACTGATTAGAATCCAGAGTCGTGCGTTCTTTCCTGCTGGGAAGGCACATTTCTGACTGACAGTGATCAGAGACCAACATGATATCTGTAAATAAACAATCATTCCACCCACCATGAAAGATTTCTTAGGCCCCTGCACAACCATAGCACAAAAACCTTCCACTGCTGAAACACTGGAGAATCCTGCAATGACATAGTCCCTACAACATAAAACAACAGAATGACTGCTGTACAAATACCACAATCTGTTCACTATTGGCAGGACAAGCACTTGACCAAAAGCTACATTTGTCTGGTACATTATATCAGCAATTATTCTGTAAAAAATGGGTTCTTGAATTTGTCTTACAAAGACATGCCCTAAGGAAAACAATAACTGAAAGGATACCGCAACTAATGAAGAAGACACATTTCTAAACATTACTTTAAGGGAAAATTTGGTACCAGGGGCAGAAATAGCATGAAAAGTAGGTTTTTAGTAAAAAAAAAATAAAATCCAGATACGATCAGGATGCTTGCCTTGTCTCTGCTTGCCTTTTGTCAGCAGGTAAAAACATATCTCTGCCATTAAGTGTTTACACAATTATGAAGGTTGGGCTTTGAAAGGTGGTGTGACTGGGATTTTAAAGTGGAAATAACATTTTAATATTGTTAACAGTTTTAATATCAATAATGATATCATACACACACACACACACACACATACACACATACACATATAATGCATTTGCATTTTTTATGAGTATTGCTTTATATTTATTGTTAGCTGCCTTATGTCCCTATAGCAGGAGAAAGGCAGGGTAAAAATAAGGTAAATACAATAAAATAGAGAAATAAAGGCTGAATTCTTTTATCAACCTTCAGTTCTCTTATGATTCCCATTTTGATGCCCAATCTATAATCCAAGCTTCAGCTTAGCATGCTGGGGTACAGAGGCATATATATTTGCTCTCCCTTTTTCTTTCTGTTTTGCTGCTCTGCAAAAAGTTCTTTCTGGAGACAGCTGCCACTTACTTTGTCTGTAGTAAGTAGGCACACATTGCTATACAACTGGATAACCTAGAGCACAAACCTGTTCTTTTCCTGTCCGAGCTTTATTAATTGTGTTGCTTACTGCAGACACAATGCTGCAAACCTGACCCCAAAGTGTGTGGTTCTCTAGTTTTCTTTCATCATTCACCCAATATCAATGTGACTGTCTCCCACAGAAGATGATGACAAAAATTAAATACTGGGAAGGCTTAAAAAGCTAATATAAAAAAGAGCTTCACATATGATTTTTTTTTAGTTGAGATATGCCTATAATTATGAAGGCTTTGTTCTACTGGCTAGGTTAGGAATTTCCAAACTGTGGAGTAAATTTCCAAACTCTGGAAAGACAAAGTCTAAGTTAAGCAGAAACAAAGCCAGTAACATTGAGCTTTTATAGTGCAAGTAGTACAGGATAAGGCAGCATAACTTCCTTTTTCCAAAACTTAATAAAATCCATTGTATGAATCAGAAATTTTTATTTTTATAATATAGGCGCATACCTAAAGTTTTGTTTTACGTAACTTTGAAGATCAAATTACTGTATATACTCGAGTATAAGCCTAGTTTTTCAGCCCTTTTTTTAGGCTGAAAAAGTCCCCCTCGGCTTATACTCGAGTCAAGGTTATTTATTGTTTTACTCTGTTGTTGTTGTTATTTTCATTTCATTTATTATTTCATTCTATTTATTATTATTGCATTTATCATTTTACTCTATTATTATACATTTATTATTTTACTGTATAATTGTTATTGCTACATTCATTATTTTACTCTTTTTATTATTGTTATTATTACATTATGTTACTCTATTATTATTGGAAGGATACGTAAGCACATTTACATTGAAGAAGGTAAATGATAATTTAATCAGAGTTGAACAGTCTTATCTTAAATTACCATTTTTGTAAATATTCAAAAATCTATAACTTACCGATTCCTCATAAATGTAATTTAATTGGTATTTATTTTTATTTTGCAATTTACCCGTAGCGGCTGCATTTCCCACTCTCGGCTTCTACTCAAGTCAATCTGTTTTCTCAGTTTTTTGTGCTAAAATTAGGTGCCTCGGCTTATACTTGAGTATATACGGTAGGTAGGTGACGTCCCCCATTCTCCATACACTGAGTAAATCAATTTCTGCCATTTGTCATGACTCTTGCCAGCATAGCAGGCATTATGTTGGCAATTTCATCCTGAATGTTCGTCTTCAAATCTTGTAGGGTCCTTGGACGGTTCACATAAACACGGGATTTCAAAAAACCCCATAGAAAAAAATCACAAGGGGCCAAATCTGGAGAGTGAGCTGGCCAATCCAAATCCGCTCGAAAAGTAGGCCTCAATGGCAAAAGCACGCTCCTCACTGTTCCAATGCATGATGGTGACTGAACTATGTCAGGACAAAAGTTTATACTCCCGCCTCTCAAACGAGACCACTACCGCTTAGCTATGTCTTCAACCGACTGAACAGCATTCATTTTAAAAAAGGAAGTTATGCTGCCTCACCCTGTATTACTAGTAAGGTGGGATTGGTCAAAATGGAGGTATCCAGATGGTTCTAGACTGCATTTCCCAAAACTCTCCACCACTGGCTATGGATCATGGGAACACATGAAGGGTTATACTTTATCAACCTTAGTTGGCAAATACCACTAGTTGGCACTAATGGATCCAATTCAGACTATCTGGATGCTTTGACACTAAAGGAGTTTGGCAGACATTGCAAATCCAAGGAATCACTATCATAAATCTGAATTAATAAAACATGTTTATTAAGTGTCTGGCACTTCCCTAGACATAGCTAGTAAAGGAGGCACATAGTAATTAGAGTCACATACCCTACAAAATAGACTTTACAGATATTGAACAGAAAGTTTAATGAGATTTGTTCTACTATTAGTGAGATGAGGGGAGGATCTTTAAACTTTTAATCACGTCACAGTATAACAGAACTTTTCTCTCATAAATGATAGCAAAGATATTGAACGTACTGCACTGACTTCACATTTAACAGCAGAAAACTGGAACAAACATACCAAAAGGAAGGGATAAGGAACTTTTCTTTTTAGGCTCTTGATGAGGCACGGACAAACTTTGGTCCCTGGCTAATAGGAATTCTGGGGACTGAATGTTTGCTACTGTTTTTATTTGTTACATTACCCTGTCTTTATCCCCATGGAGACACAAGGCAGCTAACAACCACACACCTTGATCACATTTCAAAACAAAGGGAATGAAAAGTTGTTTTTTTTTTAAAAAAAAACCCCAATTAAATAGTACTGTGTAGATTTGTTAAAATACAATTAAAATATAATAAATCAATTAAAATTGCATTTAAAACCCACAATTTCCCCAGAAGACAGGACACAAGTTTAAATATGATGTAATTTATTTGATTTTTTTTCACTTTGGCATTTAAAGTTTGCCATGCATGTTGGAAACCACCTGGAATCCTCTTGGGGAGATAGGGCGATCTACAAATAGATTATTATTATTATTATTATTATTATTATTATTGAAATTAGTTTATATTTCATATACACCTTATATACACAGCTTGTCAGTGATTTTATACACAATACCATATTTCAAATAATTTTGTGCATGGAACAAAGTTTCTGTACATTGAACCATTAGAAAATAAAGGTATCACTATCTCAGCCACTAATGTAGACAATTTGGGATTTTATAGTATTTCAGTTTTTTTCAATTCTAGATAAGGGATGATGAACCTGTACCACTGATCCAACAGGTGTACTCTACCATATAAGGGCATACTCTTGTGTCCATCAATGTGTAATCAAACAACGGTATAATTATATTTATTAGGCCTGTGCGGTTTCGTTCGTTAATTCGTTAAACATTCGTTAATTTTTGCATATACGAAACAATAACAAAACATATTTTCAAACCCGGAAGGGTTTTTAAATATCGAAATGGCAGGCGCCAAAAAATTTTGTATTTCCGTCCATTTCGGAAATACGTAAGATGGCCGCCTGGCTTGCTGGGAGCTCTCCTCTCTCCGCGCCGGCTGAGCAAGCGAGCGAGAGGGCGAGCGAGAGGGCGAGCGGCGAGCGAGAGGGCGAGCGGCGAGCGAGAGGGCGAGCGGCGAGCGAGAGGGCGAGAGAGAGGGCGAGCGGCGAGCGAGAGGGCGAGTGAGAGGGCAAGCGGCGAGTGAGAGGGCGAGCGGCGAGCGAGAGGGCGAGAGGGGCGAGCGGCGAGCGAGAGGGGGCGAGCGGCGAGCGAGAGGGCGAGCGGCGAGCGAGAGGGCGAGCGGCGAGCGAGAGGGCGAGTGAGA